TCTCAAATTAAGTGCAAGCTGTTTGTAAGCTCACAGCGCGTTTTTATTGCTGTACAAAGCTTTAATGTCGGCCGCCTGACCGCCATGGTTGTGGCGACTTTCAGCTTCACACTTTTGACCGCCTTTTTTCTCTCCGCCCGACTGAGGCATATGAATGAATATTGGTTTTATTACGGTTCGCTATCTTCGGTGTAGTAGAACAATGGCGGCGTTTTGCATCGTGCAACTTAACCATGTTGCAAATAGACGTATTGTTGGGAATAAAATATTTTTTTGTTTTTGCTTTAAGTATTGTTAACTGGAAGAAAATACCAAGCGGAGAATACCTGTGTGTAAAGAACTTCACGCTATATGAAAACAATGGGTCTTAACCCGTTGCTTACTGAAAATTTCAAAAGAAATTGTTATTGTTGCAACACATATTATTCTAAATTTTTATACAATTTACATTTTGCATTATTTTATTATATAATATATAAGCTTTATTTTCTACATAAAATTTTATTTGAGACATTTTTAATTTTTTAAAAAGTTAGCTTAAATTGAATTTTTCAAAATTAGAAATAAATAACTGCGGCCTCTTAAGACATATAACAACATATAATTAAACTAGAGCCAAAAAAAAAAACTAACAAAATATTTTAAATCAAACTCATAGTAATCACACATTACAAAAATACCCCATGCTGCACACACGGGTTAAGCCTAACAAAACGGCCCAGAAGCGAATCAGCGGAGCAAACAATCGAAATAGCTACTCGTTTATAATTTTATTGCAGCCTTTCATGATTTGCATACAACGACGGTGAGAGTTTCCACAGCTATCCACAGCTATCCATAGATATAGATAGGCTATATTATTCGTGTCGCAGCACGCCAACTCAGCGCAGACTCTTGCCACATTCAGCTCAGATCGTGATGCAGTTGCCGTGATTAAGTGCCTGCCATTCATTTACCGTTCAGTTGACCGAGTGTTTGCTATAATTTTAGAAAATTCCACAAATGTTGCATTTCCATGCTTTATTTTGCGCAAATTAATTTAAATAATTGGCTTGACCGACAGTTAAGTTGGAGCGGGTATTCATTTTAAGTTTATATTTATGTATGCCTTTATCTATGTGTGTGCAAATTAAAGCGTACAAGGATTGTGTCAATCGAAACTCGGTGATTGGAAACAGCTGATATTTGCTGACGTCACAATAGCGAAAGTTGTCAAATGATGATTGCTCGTGTAGTTTAGGCTGAAGAAAAAGTTGTGTGTGTTTCAATGAGGCTTCTTAGAGGTACGAAAATTAACATAAAATCCGGTTTAGCGAATTGAAGTACTTTTTTTTTTATTATGCCTAGAAACTACCACCGACTCTATCCAAATGATACAAGATATGAGTGATTAGTCATAGTGCCACCACAGGAAAGAAGTAACCTAATAGATTTTGCAAAGAAAGGTAGCTCGTCGCATTATCATTGTACTGGTGTGGCTAGGAGTCCCGTTATCACCGTTTCAATTGCTATTTTGCAGCTGGATCCTATGTGAGTTATGTAAGCGCTAGTTAGCTGCCAATATTTGCTCTGCCGAAGATTCCTTTGGCATTAGGTGAAACGCAAAAGGTGTAGGAAGCTCATTGCGCTTAGCATGGTTGGTCTCTTTTTATTTGCATGGGTCGCTTTCTAGTTCGGCTCAGTCATTATCCGAAGGCATTCTTGAAGTAAGGCTAAATATCGTGCGGTTGTCAGCTTCTTGAGTATCTTATTTTCAAGCAACTTAGGTTTGCAGTCATCCTAGCATATTAGTAATGGAATACAAACCTAGCCTAAAAGCTTTCTGTGCTTTCTACGAAAGGTATTTTTTCCGCTATTTCGCCAGCTTCTTAAAGCATACAGAACTACTGGATATTAGATAGCAATTTTATACAGATTGAGTGCAGCTTTGGCTGCGCTTGGCTAAGTCGTGGTAGTAGGTGTAGATCATACGTTGACGAGGTGGTTTTTAATCTATATACAAGAACTAGTCCCTCAATTTTTGAGATATCTATCTCTAATTTTAAACACGTCCTTTTCTTCGCAAGAAGCTAATCTTTTGTTGCAACCGCCGACATCGGATCACTATAGGATATAGCTGCTATTCAAACTGATCGGCTAAATCAAGTTCTTGTATTGAAAATTTTTTTATTTGCTGGGATATCTTCACGAAATTTGAAATAAATTTTGGTCAACGGCATGGAATGGCAATGGTGCATTTAAAGGTTTTTTATTTGACAAACAAACATTTTATCTTCACGAAATTTATCATAGATTATTGTCCAAGGCTTGTAGCGTTGCCTTGCTCCGAAAAAATTGTTCAGCATATATGTAGCTGCCATTCAAAATGACCGATCAAATCAAGATAAACGTGTAAAGGATACATTATATATATTAATATATTATAGCTTCGATGCAGCAAAGTTTTTTCTTGTTTTTCGTGCTTATTAAAAATGTACAACAACAACACTTGGTATACAATAACAAATATAATATTTAGAGTTCAATTAACTGTATTTTTTGAATTTTAGTTCCAATCGAATGAAATTAAAATTGCAGTTTTTACAGACGTATATTTTCTCTTTTCGAAATTCACGCATAATTTATACGATTGTAAGTAAATATTTGACGATTTATGCCCCCGCCACGCTTGCACTTATTCAATGAGGTTTTTATGAAACAAAAACCCTGGCATTTGCTGTTGGCTGGCTGCACATGCCTAGTTAACAAGCTTAAGGTAATTAAAAATATATAAATATGTAAGGTAGGTATGTATAAGAGGCATGTGTGTACATATGTATGCACTTAAAGCTGTAAGTGTAAATTGTGCAGCAACTTTCTTTATTTCTTTCTTTTCCACAATTCATTGCTATTCGATTGGATAATTTTCACTTTTAAAAACAGCCTACAACAGTAATAACAATGGCAAATGCAACGGCAACTGTAGTGGAATGGGTGCATTGTTGTGCGATTGTTGAATGTGGCGCGGTTGGGAATTAATTCAAGCGCAACAAGTTGAACATATGTGTTTGGATGTATGCATGTTGATGCAACCAGACATTGTGCATATCTATATATATAAATATATATTAATATTTAAGTTGCAGACAAGAAACAAGTACATATACATATATATAAATATGTACATGGTGCATTGGGCAGGGATCGCACCACTAATCGGTGCAACAATGAAGATGGATGGATGTTGCAACACCGCCGCCATTGTGTTGTTAATTTGATGTGACGGATTTGTTGAGAAATGCATCAGCAATAAATAACAGGCAACAGGCATCTTTTGCAGAAAGAAAATTTTACAATATTATTTTACGAACAACGTTGCATTTTTCGCTTATAAAAATCATATGTATGTATGTATATATGTATATATGTTTTTGCTTTCTTAGTTGCCGAAACGAAAGTGTTGGCGCTGAATTGGTAATTCGATGCATTTCTATAGACCGAAGGCCATTAATAACTGTTATAATCTTATTGTTAGCTTTGCCTTTGCCTTTTTCCTACAACTAATTAATTAATGAAAATACATAAGTTTCTTTCAGTTTATAACCAATTAATTATTACTTCAACTGATGCGTAAGGTAATTGTACGCTGCAGGCGGTTAATTGTAGCATGCGCACAATAATAATACATAATTATGGAAATGATAAAAAAAATTGATTTTTATTATTTTTATTTTTGGTTTAATAAATAATTATGTATTTCTTAAATTTTGATTTTTTCTTTTTAATTTTGTATAATTATTTTTGTATAATGATCAAATAAGAAACAAAAGAAAAACGATTTTATTATTTTTATTGTTAGTATATTTATATATACCATACATATTTTTAATATTTATTTGTTTAAATTTTATATTTTTTATTTATTCTACTTTTTCTTTCATTTTTATATGTTCAAGATTATATAGGTTTTTATTGTTTGTTTTTTTGTTTATATTTAGCATTTTTAATTATTTTCTTTTTATATTGTATATTTATTTAGTTTTTTTTTTTTTTTTTTATATTTTTTTTTTTGTTTTAAAAAACGTAATTAATAAAAAAAATAATAATGATTTTATTACTTTTATTGTCAATATTTATATACATATCTATATGGATGTAATATTTCTTTTTAAAATTTTTACTTTTTTATTTCACTTTTTTAAACATATCTTTATTCAATAAACATTTTATTTTTATTTCCACTTTATTGAATTTATTTTCTTTGCTTTCAAAAATATTTAATTTTGAAAAAGATATTTGTTTTATTATTTTGATATTAGTTTGTTTATTTATATATATTTTTTGTTTTGTATTTATATTTTATAAAATTTTTTTTAATATAACTTCTTGTATTTCTCATTTAATTATTTTTTAGTTTCAAAAAACGTAACTACTAAAAAAATATATTTTTAAGACTTTTGTCTACAGAAAAATATTAATGTTAATATTGATGTCGTAATCGTTGGTAAATTTTTTAGAATTCGAATTATTTTTCGGGCTCTGATTTTAGGATAATAGCGGACTCTATGAATCGATCTATTCACTACTTCGCTTATGCCACTTTCCTAACGATTTTCTCAAGCGATCGTAAACTAAGCTTAGAAATTCTTGTTATTTTTGGTACTGAGAAAAATAAGACAAGAAACCACAATTATGAAAATTTTTCATTGTTAATATATTTTATTATATTTTTATTTCCGTATTTATATTATATTAGTATTACATAGTTTATTTTATTATATTTTTTTTTAAATATTGCTTTTTATTTATATTTTATTATTTCCCATTTCTGGTTATATTTTTCGTTTTCTTTAATTTAATTTTTCTTATTTGTTATTTAAATTTTAATTTGATTTTAATAAATTTATTTATTTGCTATTTCTTGTATTTTCCACATGATTCTTTTTTTTCAATCTAATTTTTTATTTCCTGTTTTTTTTATATATATATAAATATAAATATATTTGTTCTTGCACACTCACCTTAAACACTTCGGAGAAGAATCCAGAGCCGATTTTCTCCTTGACGAAATCATCCACAGAGTAGAGCGCTGACACAGCAGTTCTGAGAGCTTTACACGATGGCCCTGTCACCAAACGATCGGACGAGATGGTACGTGCAACCGGCGGTGCCGTCGTATGATTGTGTACACTAACGTTGCTAACATTAGCACTACTACCATTACAATTACTACTACTACTGTTGCTACTGTTGTTACTGCAGTTGTTGTTTGTGTGCTGACCGTTGAGCATAGCAGCGCACGTATTGCCAACGTAGCCAACACCATTTGTTGCTACCGCGTAAGCACTCTTCATACCCACATATGAAGTTGTTGTTGCTGCTGTTGTTGTTGCTGTTGATGATGGCATTGTTGCACATTTTGTTGCATATGTCTTTGATGCCATTATGGAGGCGTCTACTTGATCGATACCAACCAAGCCGCAAGCACCCGGACTCGCAGCAGCACCGACACCACCGACGCCCATAAACGAGGAGTTATGCTGTGCCGCTGTTGCTGTTGTATTCATTGCAGTTGTTATTGTTGTTGCTATCGCTGACGGTGGACCGGGCCCACTGTGTTGATTCGGATTCATCACTATCAGCTGTGATGAATATTTGACAGCGCGTAGGAACTAAAACTCATCACCGTCGGCAAACACTGTGCAGCTGCGTACGCAATCGATGACGAAACGAAGTATCGACGAAGCGACGAACTCAGTTGCAGCGAACAAATATCGCTGTTGTTTGTATGTGGGAGCTGCGAAAATGCGCTGGCCGTTGCAAGCTGGCTCAAACGGTAACGGTATTTTGTAAGCACGCACTGATCGTGTATGCACAAGACTACGCGACGCGAAGCGTTTAGGCGACGTAACGCGCGTTAACGTCAATTATTAATCGCTGCCTAGACACGCACTAATTTATAAACAGTAAAAAATTTTGATTTACTCCAACGGAAATTTGAAACAAAAATGAACGAATTTTATTTGTAGACACACACAAACGCAGGCAAATCGATTGATTTTCAAACAAACATCGATTTTCGAAAAAAAAAATACAGGGTCATAATTTATGTCATTTATATCATTATTGTCGTTTTTATGGAGCATACCTTTGGCAATTATAACTGTGGTGGTTGTGGTCGCTTCTATTAGATAAATAAATATTTTTATGAGAGCACTTTTTTTAGATAATTATTTTCTTTTTCTCTCACAGTAGCGCGGTTTAACTGTAAATATGTATTTATAATTTGCACATTTGACGTTTTGCGAAATTATCGATAATTTTTGCTTGCAGGCTTTTTTGATTAAAATTATTTTTTATGTTATTTATAATTTTTTCTTTTTGTTTTTCATTCAATTCGCATGCAGGTTACGAAAAATGCATGGAAAACAAGTATATTGTTTGGAAATGTAACTGGAAGCACACAAATAAATTGAAGTTGATATAGAAATCTGCAAAGAAAACGAAAGTATAAAAATTAATATATTTGTGTTATTCATGAACTAAATATTTTTAAATTAACAAGAAAATAATTGTTAATTATTATTAGATTAAGAAAAGCACATTTAAGGTATTCACAAATCACAAAATATATGGTAAGAAATATAATATACAGCGGCGTCTACCAATAGAGATGACGAGATTTTGACAGCTTGTGCCGGATTTTGTCAGCGTGTTCAGTAATATTTGTCATTTCAAAATTTTTAAGCAAATTCACGTTCTCTGAAAAGTTCACAAATTCAGATTCATCGAAAAATCATCTTCTCAGATGAGAACCATTTCCGGCTAAATGGCTTCGTCAACAAACAAAATTATTGCTATTGAGGTGAGTCAAATAATTGTGTGGTTCAGGAAACGCAATTGCATCCCAAAAAAAATAAAAAAGGACAAAAAAAACAGAAACCATTTTGACTAAATTTAAATGTTTTATTTCATTTGACGTCGTTTTTGTTGGTAGAGCCTTTATATAAAAATGAATCCAATAAAAATATTTATTATACAAGTTGGTTGGCCTCAACAGGAAATAGCACAACGAGCTCCAAATTTTTTCGTTTTATAACTATGGATGAGACTTGGACTTACGACTATGATCTTAAATTGAAACAAAAACGTTTACAGTGAACTGAAGCTGGTTGTTCAGCTCCAAAGCAGGCGAAGTCATAACGATCAGCAAAGAAGGTTATGGCGTCAGTTTTTTGGGATACAAAAGGAATTTTGTTGATTGATTATCTGCAGAAAGGTAAAACAATCGTCTCTGAATATTATTGCAGCCTTTTGGATCAGCTGGGTGAAAAATGTGTGAGAAAAGAACTGGTTTGCAGCACAAAAAAACCTGCTCACAAAGGTGTCTTAACAATGACAAATTCAACGAATTAAAGTAGGAATTACTTGAGCACCCACCGTATTCACCAGATTTGTCTCCCAGCGATTATTACCTTTTCAGAAACCTGAAACAATTCCTTCGTGGAATGAAGAAGCTATTACAGCCGCAGACGGGTATTTTGCAGAGCTTCATTATAGTATGCGTAGTAGTAGTCAGTATAGAATATTAGATTACGACAGTTTGGACCCGTTACTTTGGTTGGAGTTGGTTCGACGGAAATATACATTAGTTTGTGACGTCATAATTGTTGACAAGTACTATGAAAGTTTAACAATTTCAATACAATACATCTTCATTCTATTTCTTCGTTAACGATTTTGTGCTTTATGGCCATTAAATTGAATCACTAGCCGCTCTTGTAGTATAGTATCTTTAACAGTTAAAGATCGAAGTGTCAGTGGCCTGTTATTCTAATTAAGCAGTTTTTACTTAGTCTTTCGGAATTACGACAAAAGAGTATAATGAGCGACATAGTTGCTTTACTTTTTATCAACAAAAAATTGTCCTTTGGACATTGACGTACTATAATTCAACTCATCATTGCAGTTAAAACTAACTGCAGATTTCTCCCTCTCTCTCTCTCTCTCTCTCTTGACGACTTAATATACCGTAACAAAAATTGACACTATGACAGTCTCAATTTTTTTCTTGTACTCCTAGGAAATAACATTTTACGAGTATTTCAGCTAGTACCCAGTGAAATGAAGATCCAAAGCGCGCTCGCAACAGATTCTCACCGCATTTGGTATATACATATTTAGTTTTTACCGACTCACTATGTCTTCAGAGTAAAATTTTTTAGTGGAACATTGATATTTCTTTTAGTCAGTAATAAAGTGCTTTACATTTTTGTATTTTTTTTTTATAATATTTAGATTTTATAAAATGATTTAAAACGACTGTAAAGCGTGTTATAACCCACTTGTATTTACATATAAATGTGTAGTTACGTATTTAGGCTTTCCCAAACAGCAATATCGAATCGTTAACCGCCACATACGCACAATTTCGTATCAAATAAATTTTGACAACTCGTGACAGTCACCTGTTACGTACACGTTATTCCACAGTTTCAAGTGTATTACACCGAACACGTTGAACAAAATTTGATCGTTCAATCGGACAAACAGCTTGTCAGCTTACACTTTCCATTTAACTGATAAGCAAATTACCACCAAATTGAGATTATGTGGCTGATTCGCAAGTGTTTACTTTGTCATTTCGATTGGTGTTTTATCGCTTCGCGTCAATAAATAGCCATTTCTATATATACATATTTGCCTCTGTACACTCCGCCGCATACGACAACAAATTAAATATTTAACAAACTTATCAGCATGAAATGGCAATTTGAAGCGTCAAGACGTGAAAAAAGTATGCCCCTAACCTTCAAAATTTTTTCAAGCGCAGCTTACTTTGAAATGCGACAGTTTGCTTCTGCATTTTGAGTTCTCTCGTGATCACTTCACTGATTTGCATTTGTTTGCTAATGGCCCAAAAAATCACTCACTTCACACACACACAAACATTTCTACATTCACACACAAACGACAACAATGTTGTTAAGGTGTTATAGTGTGATCACGTGGTGTCGAACTTTTTGCTGAACGCTTGCAAAGCTTTTTTTTTCAATTTTCCAGTTCATTTCGAATATTTGCGTATTGATTAAATGCTATCACTAGCGTTTGATTAGCGTTTTTATTTGTTAATTAATGTGTAAATATTTATTTATTAGTCAATGTTATAATTGTTGTTGTTATAGTGTCATGATGACAATGAAAATTTAAAAATTGTTGTTGTTAATTTTTGAGTTTATGGAAACATACCGACCCATTACTTTGCCACTCCAATTGCAATTAGATGATTAATATATTGTTATAAGTGTTCTTACGTTTTTCATGTTCTTATGTACAAAGGTGTTATGGTTTTAATATGTTTGAACAGCGATAACGAGCTTGCCCATATTAATGTGTACATTATACTACAATTCTTTTTGTGTTAACAGCTAGTTTTCCAGTTGTTTGCTCAATAAATTGTACAACTTCATTGACTAAGATAAAAATGCTATCTATGCGTATCTATCTAAATATTATAGCGGAGTGTTTAAGAGTAGAGATTGAGAGAGATTAAGACAAAACAAGTATGTAGGCTAATTATTTTCGATTTCGATGTGTTCTTAGCCTTAATTTTTTTAATTATGCTAGGTATGTATGCTGGTGTATACGCAAATTCTCATCGGTCCAATTGTATTTAAACCTACACATAAAATAGGAGTGTATCACAATCAGGGTTGCAAAGCATGCATTAAAAAAATTATTGAAGTATTTGTTTAATGTTTTTTTTTTAATAATGTTTTAAAAATTCGCAAATACTGAATTGAAAAAACAAAATTAATTCCAAGCTTAAAATTAGAAGTGAAATTTTTTTGATTTTACTTAGTGTTATTCTTTGAAAAATAAAGCTTATTTTTAATAAAATATTAATATATTCAGTGGTGTTGCAGAATCTGATAGTTGTCGGTATCAGAATTGAAACCGATAAGAAAATGTAGTAGGTGTCATGAAATCAGATATTATTGGTTTGACATTCGAAACAGATATTTTATCGGGTTTGTATCAGAAACAAAGCAACAGGGGATATTCGCTGACAGATTTGAAATGTAAGTTAAGAAAATAATTTGTATTATTGTTACGATTTAATTAATCGTTATTTCTATAAGGAAAAACATAAGAATAAAACAAAAAATGTCATAATTTTAATATCTTCCTTTTAATTTTTTCGTTGTTTTTTTCTTCCAATAAAATAAAAGCTAATATAGTGAAACTCATTGCAAACTTTAGTAGACTTTTTTCGGTATTTCAAATTTATACATTCCAAATTTATTAATTTGCAAGTTTTGTCACAATAGTAAACAGCTGATTCGAATATTGGTTTTGCATATGTTCGAAAAGACGAAAATCCAATCAGATTCTGTGGCACCATTGAAAATCAGAATTGGTTTTCAATTCTGACAACTGCGCAAATCTGTCTTGGATTCCACAACACCCCTGATTAAGTAGTTTAGCTCTTTTTGTATTTTTCATATTGAGTTACTTTTAACTATAGTATATATGTATATGTAAATATGTTTTTTTATTAGTTACTCTAATTTTTAAGTTAATAATTATTTTCTCAATTTTTAGTCCAAAATGTTTGGTATTAAAAATAAAATTTTTATTTTAAGTTTTTATTATTAATTTAGTTGGTTGTAAAGGAAGGTGCAGGAGCGCCACACCGCACACGGCTGCACTTATGACATCATTGTGCTCTCGGTTGGTAACCAAATTAAGTCTTATCCAAGAACTTAGTGATCTGATAAAAAAAAAACCTGATTTTTAGTTTACATTTTATATCAGATTAAAAAATTAAATTTTCAATTTTCCGTCCAAGATGTTTGGAACTAAAAATTGAAATTTTAATTTTTAATTTGAGTTACGAAAATTTTTAAATATATATTTTAACCCCAAAATCGGAATTAAAATAGAAACTTTATTTTTAATCACAAAATTTGAATTTAATCATTTAAAATTTAAATTTTAATCCTTAATTTTTTAATTAAGAAATGATCACAATATATTTTGAAACATACCCTAAGAGTTGCCAAAACTTCGATAAAAAGTGATAGGTACAAAACAACGACAGCGTGTCAAGACTTTAAGGAAGCTTCTTGCAAATAAGTTATAAAAAAAAAAGTTTAGTAGTTAGGCATTATTTTTTTGCACAAATGACAATAAGTGGCTTATATAGAGCAATAGTTTTACAACAAACTGGTATAAAATTCAGAAGTGGATTATAATGCTAAGCAATTAATTGCTATAATTTAAAATTTCTAGAAATTTCTTGAAGCTTTATTAAACAAATTGCAAAAATCTGAATTGTTGGTAAATATTGCAAATATAAACAACTTTCCACAAACATATATACGTACAGCTGTGTTCATAAAAATAGCAGTAATTGTATGCTTGGGTTAGTACTTAGTCGTGTACCCATTTATTTTTTATTATGGCCTGGCAACTGCGAGGCATAGAA